AGGTAGGGGTGGGGAGCTGTGTTGGGGTAGACTGTAGCAGGGCACAAGGAGGGGCATAGCTGGGCTCTCAGAGTGCTTGTGGATGGAGTACTCTGCAAGATGGGAAGAGTGTCTGGGGTTCCCCAAGACAGGACCCCCACACCCAGCACTCAGGGTGGATGTGCCACCTGTGGGGTGGGGGCCACATTAATCAGGAAGGGGAGGAAGAGGAAGAGAAAGAACAGCCTAAGCAGTGGCTACATGTGGTGCGCCATGGGCAGCCTGAACCCCGAAGCCTGGGCCTGTGTTTGGAGGTGGCCCTGGGGGGCTCAGGCCAGGTATGGACTAACTCATTTACAGAGCCAGGCAGCCACAGGCAGCAGTGAGGAGGGCAGGGTGGCACACTGCACAGGCCTTCGTTTTCCTTGTCTGGGTTGGACTCCAGAGAGGGTTGCAGTATTATGGGTTTTTGGCATCAAATGTATTAAAGAAAGAGAGACCACCTGGGCAGGCATTGTGCGAGCAATGAGGCTTGTTTATTTAATGGTCAGGCACCCAGCAAGTGGGCTGAGTCTGAAGGTGAGTCAGCATAGAATTGGCAAAAAACAAAGAATTTAAAGGGAAGGGGTGGGTGGATTTGCTGCCTTATGGAATTTGAGGGCGGGTGCCAGGTGTAGTGGTGTACACCTGTCATCCCAGCACTTGGGAGGCTGAGGCAGGAAAATCGCTGTGAGTTCAAGGCCAACCTGGGCTATATAGTGAGTTCAAGACCAGCCTAAACTATAGGGAGACCCTGTCTAAAAAAATTAAAAAGTAGGAATTTGAGGGTGGAAAGAGTGACATCATACTTCTCTGTGAGAGGCAGTAGTGGCAGGTGTCATCAGGCTTCCTGTAACTGCATTGGCTGGGCTTTGTTCTTCTTTAAGGCTTCCTGGACATCCTCCACAGAGGCTTGATGGCACCTGGCCAGGCTCAGGGATGCACTCCTGCTGGCATGGTTGCCATGGAGTTGGTGGCACTCCAGCCCCCACTCTGGGTGACACTACTGTCAAAGGAAATATCTTAATGTAGTGGCCATGAATGCCTGGTACAGCTGAGTTGGCTCAAGACATTTAGGGCAGACATGTAATAAAAGTACCATTTGGGGAGTTGGGCCCTTCTGTCCTGTTTCAAAACTAAAATACTATACTACCTGGGTTTTCCCTATGCTTGGAGTGCACTCAATTCTTATTAAATGGTAGCTGGTATTTTTATGATAATCATAATGGAAATTTTGAATGTTAGAGTCAGAGAATGGAAACAGAGAAATGTAAGAGTTAAATAATTGCTTCCAAAATAGAAAAACAGCTGATACAGAAGAGACAAACAGATGGTATATTGAAAACTTGTAATTATTGAGTAGGTTGTTATCAAGTGAAATATTGTACAATTCTTAGTGGTGCTTATACTCACATTTAGTTTTAACATCTTACACCATACTCTATGTAAATTGGAAAATTTTCTACATTAAGATAATCCTGTAGTGCAAGGACCCAAGTTCGATCCCTGGTACCAAAAAAAAAAAAGATAATTCTATATTGAATATGAGGAAACATCAAAATATAGTTTCAGATTAGAGTCATACTGTTATAAATTATGTTTAGGCATTGTAACATTTTTTTTTTTTTTTTTGGTACCAGGGATCAAACTCGGGTCCTTGCGCTTATGCAGCAGGTGGCGAAACCACTGAGCTAAATCCCGGCCCTTAGGCATTGTAACATTTAAAAATGGCCCAAATATGGTAGAGAAAATAATTCAAGACATTGGATCAAAAATCCAAACCCTGATGAAATAACTACCTGCATAATACTTTCAGTTTATAAGTACACGTGGTTTTGCTTACCAAAGATAATTTATTTATACTAAACACACAATCTAATTATAAATACTTGGCTGAAGAATAGGTTAGAGAACTTGAAGGAATTTCCATTTGATAAACTCAGGTTTACTATTGCAAAATAAAAGGGGCTAGTACTCATATTTTTCTAAATTGCAAAATAATTTTCCTGTTTGTTCCTTATACCAGCACCTCCTTTCCTGTGTGTATTTATATTGATACATGAATATATAGTTTCTTCTTTTTCTTTTTGGTACCAGGGATAGAACTCAGGACCTTGTACTTGTGAGGCAGGCGGCAGAACCACTGAGCTAAATCCATGGCCCTGAATGTATAGTTTCTTTTCTTTCTTGTGTGTGTGAGGTATGGTACCAGGGATTGAACCCAGGGCCTTTGCACTGAGCTACATCTCAGCCCCTTTTTTATTTTATATTTTCAGATTACGGTTTGCTAAGTCAGTAAGTTGCCCAGCCTGGCCTCAAACTTGCAGTTCTTCTGCCTCAGCTTCCCAGAGTGCTGGGATTATAGGCATGCACCATCACACCTAGCTATGAATATATAGTAAATATGTCAAGAGCACTGCTAATAATATGGTAGTTAAGTATTTTCTTAATATTTGCTCTTTCGCGTCAATGACAGAACCTTCTATCAAATTGTCTTAATTTTCTGTCATCTATGATTTCTGGAAATGAGCACTGATAATATACTGATCTATATACATTTATTTCTAATTTGACATTTCTTTCTAATATTTAAATGATTCAAAATGATTCAAGAGATAGCAAATAAACCTAATAATGTGAATTTTTTACCTTTAAATGAAATTGTCTAATTTCTTTTCTTTCTCTCTCTTTCTTTTCAAACCTGATTAGTATTTACTTTTCAAGATTAAGACTTGTTCTATGGAAAGGTAAAAGTAAACACTGTGCTATCTCCCTTGAAGAATTAAGCACAATACTCAATGTATATTTTCTTCTTATGGTATGTTATCAACAGATGGATAATGAGGAAGCAAACCTGTTTGACTTGCTCTAGTGACCAGGAGCCACCCAATGGCTATAAATTAATCCATGTGCAAACTAGAACAAATTGGAATCTTTTTTGGAACAGAGTGGAGTATTTTTGAAAAGGCCAAAGCCAGGATTAAGGCAGCTTTTAAACTGTTGTTGGCTTCCTGATGTAGATTCAAAATATAGAAAACTGTTAAATCCATTTCTTAGTATAATGTGTGAACTGATTCTAGTCATAAAGTGAAAATATTTTTTTTTAGCCTTAGAGTAAATTTGGTTAATTCTTTCATTATTATAAAATTCATCTGTTTTTAATTTTAAAAAAATTTCATTGACAAATAATTGTATAAATTTATGGGATATACTGTGCTATTCAGATATATGTACAGAGAGTAGGGTAATTAAATCAACTGATTACCATGTCCATCACTTCAGCTTTTTCAAAGGATGAGAATATAGTCTGCCCTTTTGGCAATTTGGAAATACATATTATTATTAACTATAGTAACTATAGTTACTGTGCTGTGCAACAGAACACTGGAATTTATTCCTTTTAACTGAAACTGTGCCTTTGATCATCTCCCTATTTGCCATCTCCCATTCCCTACCCTTTGATAACTACCACTCTAGTCCACTTCTATGTAAACTCATTTAGTTTTATAAAAAATATGGAATATAGGAAGACATCTTTGTTATTTTATTTTTTATTTGGTTTGCTGTCTTATTTATTCATTTGCAGGATCTTGTTCATGTTAGGCAAGCTCTTTACCATTGAGCTATACCCTCAAGACCTTTTTATTTTGGGACAGATTCTTGCTAAATTGTCCAAGCTGCCCTCAAATTTGCAATCCTCCTACCTCAATCTGTGTAGTAGTTAGGCTTATAGGTGCACACAACCATTCCCGGCTTCGTTGTTGTTTTATAGTTAAATTTTAGGATTTTTATAGAATTTTAGGGAATTGTATTTAAAAATATAATATATGCCTTCTTCTCAACTATTTTTGTTGTTTTCCTCTTTGTCTTTCCCTTCCTCCAACTTTACCTCTTTGGTGGGTAAATTCTCTCACAAAGAGTTGTATTTGCAGTTTTTCAAAATGACTTCTTGAAAGTGAAACTTGCACCAATTTTTTCCCCCAGTTTCCAACTGTTAGGAGTTATTTTCACTTTTGATTTGTTAAAACATACTGAATACCTTCTAAATGCTTGAAACTTATTTTTAGGCAAACACAGTTTCAAAATGGAATAAAATCTTGCTAAAATTAAGACATAAGCACTCAAATGATTGATTGAAAACCTTTGAAAAAATTCTAAGACATTCCTTTTTTATGAATTGCACTTTATTAGTGTTAAGATTGCAAACTCTCAAACTGAGATGAATGGGAATATTAAGAATCACAATTAAGTTTATTAATAATAAACACACATACTTCCAAGAATCTCATTCTTGGGCCGGGGATTTAGCTCAGTGGTTCTGCCGCTTGCCTCGCAAGCGCAAAGTCCCCGAGTTCGATCCCTGTACCAAAAAAAAGAAAAAAAAGAGGGGTAACTGATTTCAACATCAGGGAAATGTGATAGGTGCCCAGGAGGAAGGCCTGAAACTTGGATAAGACTTGACAAGGTTTCAATAGACATACATTATTTTCAGAGTCCAGTGGGTTGTTGTAGGGGTGGGTGGGGGTGACCTTTTCACCTTTAAAATGCATTAATCAGGAAAGTGAACAGCGTTACTTTGAGGGGGTGAAAGGAGAAGTGGAATCTTACAGAAATATCTGTTTTAAGAGGTGTTGGGGTGACTTAGGGACGTTTGGAGTCTGTTGGTGTGCGGGGTGGGCCAGGGCCACGCTGAAGAATCTAGTCCCAGACCCGCAGAATGCGGAAGACGGCGCCTCAGGACAACTCGGGGTGGGGGACGACGGAAATCAGCGAGGATTTCTGTTTTTGCGTGCTGGACTATTACAGGAGGCGCAGGGGAACCGCGCGGGGTGCTTCTACCCCCGGGGGAACGCCGGCTGTGCCGGCAGCGCGCCGCGGCCCGCCGAAGCTCCTCTCCCAAGGCGGCGGTGCTCACCCCAGGCCAGGGCCGCGGCCCTCCCGCCCCGGCAGAGCCGCGCGGTGGATTGTGGGCTGGGGGCTGCGGCGGCCTCTCGGCGGCCTCAGTACAATCTCCCCGGACCCAGCCGGGCCTGGCCGGCAGGGTGTGGGGAAATAGTGGAGCAGGGAGCAAAAACGCTAGGGACAGTGGTCGCGGCGCGGCGGCAGCGGCGGCGGCGGCTCCCCCGGAGGCTGGGGATGTGGGAGAGGCGGTGGCAGCAGCGGCGGAGGCGGCGCTGCGGACCCGGGGGAAACTGCTGGCTGACAGGACACCCGGGAGAGACGTGAGGGAGCCGCCGCTGCCGCCTCTCACCCCGGAGCAGAGCTGGGCTCAGAGGGCGGCCCTGTGCTCCCCGGCCGACAGGCCAGCCGGCGCTGGGCGGAGGCAGGAAGCCGGGCTCGGGCCTGGCCGGGCTTGAGGCGGCGGCGGCCGCGGAGCAGCAGCCTCGGCGCTACGCGGAGGGCTGGAGGCGGCGGCGATGCACTAGGCCTCACTCTGGGGCGGCTGCCCAGACCCGCAGGTAGGCGTCGGGCCAGCCAGCTGCCCTTGGGCGCGCGGCTCCTCTCACCCGGACCTCGGCGGCGAGGGAAGGAGAGCCCACCCCCTGGGTCCGCTCCCTGGCCCCGAGCAGACGGAGTTTCGGTCTCGAGCGGCCGGCCCCTAAGCTCCTGTTCCCCTCTCCGCTGTTCCTCTGCCTTGTCACTCTCCCTCTGGTGTCGCGGTTGGCAGCTGTGCTCCCCACTGCCCGTCAGCTGCTGCCGACTCCACTCTAGCACTTCTCACCCCCTCCGCGGTCCCGGCCCTGGAACTTCCGTCACTCCTCTTAGGCGCCGACCTCAAACTTTTCCTCTTCTTGCAGTCGGGCCCTTAGCCTCCCGTGGAACCCACTGGAATAATTAACCTTCGTGTGCGTGTGTGTGTGTGTGTGTGTGTGTAACCCACTGGAGTAATTAACCTTCGTGTGTGTGTGTGTGTGTGTGTGTTTTAACCCAAAGAATAATTCGGTGTTTTGCCGTTTGGCAATTTACTTAACAATAATTGGTTCAATGATTAATTTTCTTCAGCTGTGCTTCCTTCTGTCTCCGGGTAGCTCCAAAGGCAGGGCCATCCTTGCCTTCTCGTTGTTGTTGGGAACTTTTTCCTGACCATTATAATTAGCCACTTGGTTTGTCAATGTGTTAAGTTTAGGATGGCTTTTTAAAAAGAATTTTAGCTGTCCAAAGTTGTAAAATAAGTGTTTTTCAAAAAAATTCCTTTTAACCAGCTTTATTTTTTGGCCTTTATAGAGGCATCTCTTTTGAAAGATTAAGTTGTTAGTGTTTTTGTTTCTAATTGGCTCTATTTCTGATTTGTCAAACTTAGGGCAGTTTTAACAGTAAACATTTACTGGGGAAGTGATATGATGAATTGTCGTATAGAGAGAAATATATTATTATGATAACTCAAGGTCCAGATTTTGATGTACATTCACTTTTGTAAGTGTTGGGGAGTTTTGATTGGAAAAGTATCCCGAGAGCCTAAATGGTTTCTAAGCAGGATGGAACAGATGGAATGTTGGATTGTATAATACAATATTACAGAGTTTGATTTCCTAGAAAGGGATATTGATGGTTTATAGCGATCTTTATCCTTCATGATGGTTTGGGTAAAAATATTCAATATGTATAATTGTTGTGATTTGGGAGATGTTTGCAACTTTGGGTTTTGGCTATTTTAAAATTATATTCTGTTTAGGATTATTACACTGTCACTGTTCTCAAATTGTAAAGGCTGTTCATGTTTTATTATTGATATTCATGTATTTTGTTCTTGTGGAGATATTGTTACAGCATTTGGCTTTCTGAAGTAGTTTGCAAAAGTATGACTGGTAAAATTATCCAAAGTTTGCTAGGAAAAGATTAAATTTGCATATTTTTTTTCCTGGAAAAGTTAACATTTCTTTCTGGATAAGATATTAAGTTTTTATGTCAGAATTCAAATCAAACCTTACATAACCCATGAAATGGCAAACTGCAGAATTTGCTCTTAATCATACCCCTTATCCTATCAATAAAGTTGATTAAAATTCCGTTTTCTTGCTCTTAGCTTTTGAAAACCAGTTTTATTGAGTTATAATTAATATACCATAAAGTACACTCATTAAAACTGTGCAATTCAATGGTTTTTAGTATGTTTACTAAGTTGTATGGCCATCACCATAATCTGATTTTAATATGTTTCATTGCCCCCACCAAAAAAAACCACAACGAACCATTGAGCCCATTAGCAGTTACTCCTCATTCTCCCACACCCATCCCCAGTTCTAGGCAACTACTAATATCTGCTTTCTATCTCAATATTTTTCTGATACGGGCCTCTCATATAAATGGCCTTTCAAAGCTTCTTGAGAAATTAGTCCTTTAAAATCAGCTTACATGTTTAAAATATTTTATTTGGATCAGGGAGTAACTGATCATTGGTATTAAAAGGTATAAACAACTGGAATATAATTGTGTCAGCATAAATACAAAGTTTGAAGAGAGAAAAAAGGTCTGAATGGCTTCAGTGACCTCAAGAAGTAGTTTGGTCAGCTGCGCGGGGGGGGGGGGGCGTGTCAGTAAGTAAAAATGGGAGATGTATCAGAATTATCAGGTTGGAAAGGATTTTAAAAGGTAATCAGCTTATTCCTGCTTGCCTTACAAATAGCAGGAACCAGATGAAGAAATCTGAAGGGTAGAAGCCTGAATCTCCAGGATTCATGCATTGAGAACCACAGTGTGGCATGTGAAACAAAAAAAAGGGGGAATGTTGGGAGTGTCAGGATGGTTTAGATGTTTGAATTGTTTAAGTTCTTCTACATATATATGTACAGGTGTGATTGAAATGTATGGTGAATGTTTAAACATTTATTACAGTAAAAGAAACATTGCCATTAATTCTCCTCAAGCCCCCCCCCCCAAGTCAAACACACTTATTCCATCATTCTTGCCATTTTTCTGAAGCATTTCTGGAAGTTTTCTTTCATGAGTGTATTTAAAAGGTGTGTTAAAAAATATGGTGAGCGGGGCCTGGGGATGTAGCTCAGTGGCAGAGCCCAAAAACAATGAATGATATTGACGAGTACCAGCCACAGAAAGGCATACTCATAAAAGATTATTACTGTGTGCCCTCATCTACCTTATTCACTGGATCTGGCACCTTGTGATTTCTGACTCTTTCCCAAAGTCAGAATGACCATGAAAGGTAGAGTTGAATTCAGGACATCCAGGGAGCCTTGATAGTGCAACTAAAACACTCACAAAAGAGGACTTCCAGAAGTGCTTCACAAAGTGGCAAGAATGGTGGATAAACTTGAGGCACTCATAGGTAAATGGATGCAATTTGAGAGCATAACGTCAAGTCAACTAAGTCAGACATACAAGCTTAAATATTGCATAGTTTCTCTTACATAATATTTATAAGTTATATATATACACACACACAAAGAGCAAAATAGAAGATAAATAGGAGAGTTCACATAATTCCCTGAATTACTCTACTATTTTAAAAGTATTTTAATATATATGCTAACTCATTATACTACTAGTTGTTTTTCCTAGTTCATTGAAAAGAATTTTGTGCTATTATCTGTTTCTTTCTTTTTTTTTTTAGTACTGGGGATCGAACTCAGGTCCTTGTGCTTGCACAGCAGGCAGCGAAACCACTGAGCTAAATCCCTGGCCCTATCTGTTTCTTTTTTGTAAAAATCTTTTTTGACTATGTCTTGTACTCTGAGTAACTACTTTGAAGGTAGTGATACACAGTATATTATTCTTATTATTTTGTTATGAAATTTGTTTTATTTTCATATAAGATAAAAGTGGCAAGAACGATGGGATAAGTGTGTCTGGAAGGGGAGTATTTTGAAGGAGATTAGTGGTAATGAGTCTTACTGTAATAAATTTTTAAAATTTAAACATTCACTGTATTTTTTGATAACTGTTCATAGTTGGCCTTTTGCTAACAGAGCTGTGAAAAAACTAGACATTTCTCCCACTTTGAGGACAAGTAGGTGACTAAAGGTACGCATGTTTTAAAGACTTCTAAAAAATGCTTTAACTTAAAGTTAAACAACGATATCTTCTTTAACTTGGGACCTTGTGCTTGCGAGGCAGGGGGCAGAACCACTGAGCTAAATCCCTGGCCCTACCATCATATTTTTAAAAATCCAAATTTTAGCCGGAGATTTAGTTCAGTGGTTCCACTGCCTGCCTTGCAAGCACAAGGACCCGAGTTCGATCCCCAGTACCATTAAAAAAAAAAAAAATCCAAATTTTAGAAACAAAATTATAATTAATAAGACTGTTTGGAGTCCTCCTTTTTTAAAGATCCAGGGCCCTAACATCTAAAACAATGGTTCTCAAAGGATGATTTTGGCTTCCTGGAGACATTTTGATTGTCACAACTAAAGGGGGAGTGCTATTGGCATCTAGCCAGGAATATTGGAAAATATTGTACAATGTACAAGACATACTACACTCACACACAAGGAAGAATTAATTATCTGATTTGAAATGTCAGTAGTATTGTTATAAACCTATGGTTTGTATGATTTTGTCAAGGTCCTGAACTTCTATTCTTGATCCCTAATGGGAGGGAAATACTTAGTGAGTGCTGTTTGGTAGGTTAGATTAATACTTTATCCTCTATTGACTCTTCTTTGCCAGGTGAAGGTAGTTGAGGGGAAAGTTAAAAAGAAATCTGTTACATCCTGTAGCTATTGTTTAGTCTGTTTAGTTGTCTTCAAATCTGCAGAAAAATATTTTTTATTTTTTTAATTTTTTGGGTGGTGAGGATTAACCCCAGGGCCTCACAAATGCTTGGTAAGTATTTTACCACTGAATTACATCCTGCCACCCCCTTTTTTTCTTAAAATGACAGCCTTATATTATCACACATTTTAACTACTATTATATTTTAAATTTTTGGTTATTGTTACATAGTTTTTTGATATTAGAAATAAACGTAATAGTACCTAATTTAGCTGGAAGTGATTTTTATCCCCAGCTGCTTCAACTGCCAAGAAAAAAAACAAGCTATATTTTTATTAATATATGTGTGTAAGTATGTTGTGAGTGTCCAGAAAAATTCAAAGTTTATACACAAATATTATCTTTTTTCCCCTATAGGTGTCACTTTTAACTTAATGTTTTTAACAGACTTATTTGGTGATGAAAGATGATTAAAAGTGGGAGGTTACTTTTGCTATTTACTATTCATATGATCTTAGAGAAGTTATTCAATCTTTCTGACTTTGTTTTTTCATCTATAAAATAGTGATAATTCTGTATTACAAGGTTATTGTAAGAATTAGTGAGTTAAGTATATAAAAATACTATATAAACAATAATATACTGAACAAGAGTTACTTATTTTCACAAGAATCAAGTTAGGAATATAGATGTTGTCAAAGGCAGGAATATAGAAATGGCAAAGTGGAGAATTGTGAGTGATCACAGCCTCTAGGGAACAGAGAAATCCTAAGTATTTATCTGTCTCCAT